ATGTAGGAGCCGGAGAAGGACATGCCGCTGCTTCTGGGAGCTGTTTGAGGTAAGCGCTGCCTGGAGCCTGCACCCCTGAGCCTCACCCAAACCCCCGTCCCAGCTGTGATCCCCCTCACGCCCTCCGAACCCCTCGGTCCCAGCCCAGAGCACCTCCTACACCCCAAACTCCTCATCCCCAGCTCCACCCCAGAGCCCACTATCCCCAGCCCTCACCCCCCAACACACCCCACTCCCCCGTCCCAGCCCAGAGCCCGCTCCTGCACTCTGAACTCCTCATTTCTGGCCGCACCCCCAACCAGAGCACTCACCCCCTCCCGCACCCCAACCACAATTTTGTGAGCATTAACATCCCACCATATAATTTCTATTCCCAGATGACCCCTTGGGCCAAAAAAAAAGTTTGCCCACCCCTGCTTCATATCTTACCCTGCTTCAAAGCTTATCATCAGGGCCATCAGCTTTCTGTCTAACGAGGATGTGGTGGAATTTCCTTCTGAAAGTATCAACAGTGATGTTTTGTTTCCAGAGGTATCACAATTGAGCTGCATGAGACACTTTCCTTCCTTGACTCTTTGGTGACTAAACATACACTATGGCTTCTGTGGCACCTCCAGCCCTTGCTTTCTACCTTATAGATTATAAGGCCAGAAGGAACCATTGTGATAATATACTCTGACCCCCTGCATAACACAGGCCATAGAACTTTCTGAATTAATTGTTGTTTGAACTAGAGCATGCTTTTAAGAAAAACATCCAATACTGATTTAAAAAATTGTAGAGTGGGAACTGAATGATTGTCTCTTGCGTAACAGTGCAAAGCAGAATTTGCATACACTCGCTCAAGTGCCTTCTGCTCATTAAACACAACTGACTTGCTCTTGCTCTCACAGAAGCTGTCAGGGTTCCCTCCCAACTCTGAACTCTAGGGTACAGATGTGGGGACCCGCATGAAAGACCCCCTAAGCTTATTTCTACCAGCTTAGGTTAAAACTCCCCCAAGGCACAAATTCTTCCTTGTCCTTGGAACGGTATCGCTGTCACCACCAAGTGAGTTAGACAAAGATTCAAGGAAAAGAACCACTTGGAGTTCCTGTTCCCCCAAAATCCCCCCAAACCTCCTTTCCTGGGGAGGCTTGAGAATAATATACCAACTAAATAGGTTAACGAAGTGGGCACAGACCAGCCCTTTGGTTTTTAGGACACTAAAAACCAATCAGGTTCTTAAAAGCAGAATTTTATTATACAGAAAAAGTAAAAGAAGCACCTCTGTAAAATCAGGATGGAAGGTAATTTTACAGGGTAATCAGATTTAAAACACAGAGGATTTCCTTCTAGGCAAAACTTTAAAGTTACAAAAAAGCAGGAATAAACCTCCCTCTTAGCCTAGGGAAAATTCACAAGCTAAAACAAAAGACAATCTAACGCATTTCCTTCCTATTACTTACAATTCATAATCTTAGATGCTTAGTTCAGATATGGCTTTAGGAGATGTATTTTCCCTTCCCTGGTTCCTCGCTGACCGGAGAGGACACACAAAGAGAGACAAAACAAAAACCTTCCACCACAGATTTGAAAGTATCTTCTCCTCTCATTGGTCCTTTTGGTCAGGTGCCAACCAGGTTATGTGAGCTTCTTAACCCTTTACAGGTAAAGGAGGGATTTTATGCTACCCTTAGCTGTATGTTTATGACAGAAGCCAATGATAAAACTCCCATTATCAGTGAAGCCATTTGGGCCCAATACATAAGCAGACAGAAGCGAAGATAGGAAATAGTACTTGAATGCATACAGCATTGAATATGATCTATATGCAGGGGAAGATAGATGAGTTTGCTGCTTTTAATGTTATTCCCTGAGGATAAAACAGCTTCCAACATGTGTTTGGTTTTTGTTTTGGATGTTTTGCAGCTCAGCCACATTGCCTATAACTTTCAAGTGCTTGTTGGAGAATAACCATGTTGACAGAAGGATTGCCAGATTTGTGCTGCCTGTTGGGGCCACGATCAATATGGACGGAACTGCCCTATATGAAGCGGTGGCAGCAATCTTTATTGCTCAAGTAAACAATTATGAGCTGGATTTTGGACAGATTATTACTATAAGGTATAGACCCAAAACCCCAGCAACCTTTCCATTTGACTCATTAAATCTGTGATGTTCTCTCATTTGTGTATCAAGCACATTACTGCATCTGCAATGTTCAGTTCAAAGCTTCCTGTAAGATCAGGGCCAGTGTGGAGGGAAATCTTATTAGCCCTATTAAAACAGACGTGACCAGAGAAATATATCGCATTTCAATTTGTTAAACTGGCTTTTTTAAAATCCTTCGCTTTTAGGCCAATTGTAGCTCATTCACTTAGGATTACAACTTTGTTGCTCACAGTGTTTAATTTTTCCCCCTTGAATCCTATAAAAAATGAACCCCTCCAAATCCCTGTGCTGTTGGGGATGCACTTCCAGTGCATAGGATGGGGAGTATGTTAAGAACACACCGGCTCCTTCCCTCCACAAATAACTTTCAACATCGTAAACTTAAATGGTAAGCTCCTCAGCATAGCGCTCTGGCCCTTTACACCACAGGAGGGCCAGAGCAGCATTCAGCAACCCTAAGTAGCACCGCAGACCAGGGGAGGATTCATCAAGCACAGGCAATATGGAAGACAGCTGTAAGGTTGCTTCCCAAGGACCCCTCAGAGGTCTCCATAAAACAGGGGGATGCCCGGCACAACAGGAATGAAGCATGGCAGAGAGATTCCACTGCATGGCCCATAGGGCAACCCCAAGGAGGCTGCTGTAATTTACACCCCCAGGGCTATTTAAGTTACAGAATGGGCCGCTTCAGCCCCCAGAGGAACCCAGCATGCGAAACGCACAAAGATGGTTTAAAGCCATCATAGTTTCCTCAACCCCTGGGCTGTAAATTCTGTGCTGAGCCTCTTAGGGGTGCAGCACAAAGTCTCACTCCACATATTTTCTGTGTGTGTTTTATAAAAAAAAATGTCCTATTTTTTCTCATTGGGGTTTTGTCAGCCTTAAGCTAAAACTGGAATAATTAATTATCCCTTCCTTCTGAAAGAGAGGTGGCAAACATTCAGGAACTGCTGAACAGCTTGGGTGGAAGGCTACTTGAGACAGGAGATATAATAGGAAAAGAAATAACATACGCTGTGTGTAGTTTTCCTCTAAATCATTATGTAGCTCAGGTTTTAAAAATTACTTCTGCTGCTGCTTGTAAAAGCAAATTTAATAGCAAGCAAGTTCTCACTGGCTAGAGAGCACTAACTATAGATTCTATATTTTAAACACAGGGGAGGGATAGCTTAGTGCTTTGAGCATTGGCCTACTAAACCCAGAGTTGTGAGTTCAATCCTTGAAGGGGCTACTTAGGGATCTGGGGCAAAAGCAGTACTGGGTCCTGCTAGTGAAGGCAGTGGGACTGGACTCGATGACCTTTCAAGGTCCCTTCCAGTTCTAGGAGACAGGATATCTCCATTAATTTATTTTATAATTTAATACCTTCTTCTTGAAAATAGCATAACCAATCCTAAATAGAAAAAAAAAATCCAACCAGTTAACTATTGCCAGAATAATTTCACTGCCTGCCAAAGAATGCCTCAGGAGTGAAACCTGCAGGTTTCCAGTAAGGAATGAATGATTAGAAAAACATTCATATAATGAGTAATGCCTGACCACATTAAAAATCTACCTACCTACCATCTACCCTCTGACCTCATCACCATCATATCTGGGCATGTTTACACTGTTGTGGCCTGCACATCTTCAGTTCTAGTGTGTATAAGACCTGAATGACAACAGCAAGAGAGTTTTTTCAATTAGCTTCTTCCTATAACTGGGGTCTGCTTATGCATTAATGGGAAAGTTTGGTCAATCTGGCCCATATGAGCTGTTGCCTTCTCGCCCTGTGCTAAAAGTGAGAATGGTCATGTGCAGGACTATGGATATGTCTACGCAGCTGGGAGAGACATTTCACAGCCCAAGTAGCCACACATGTGCTAGCTCTGCTCAAACTAGCCTATGCTAAAAATAGTGTGTGGCTGCAATGTCATGGGAGGGGGCTTAGCCTAGTCACCTGAGTGCAATCTTGGCCAACCTCCTGAGTACATATTTGGGTGGCTAGCCCAAGCTGCCTGTCATGATGCCAAGGCCACATTGCTATTTTTAGCACACCGGCTCATGCAGAACTAGCACATGTAAGTCTACCCAAGCTGGGAATCATACTTCTTAGCTGCTGTGTAGACATACCCTTAGTCTTTGTGATCTATAATTCAGTTACACTTTAATTAGAGATGGGTCCAGAACAAAGATAAAAACAAGTGGTATGTTATAAAAATCATCCAAATGGAAGAGGAAGATGGGAAGGGTGATTTGGAAGATTAGAGAACAAGAAGGATGATGGGAGATGGAAAGAATGTATGTTGTAAACTCCTCGGAGCAGAACCATGTCTGCTCATGTGCCAAGCACAGGCTTCATGCCAATAAATAAGGGGATATAAGTAAAGCCAGAGTAGGAGGAAAGGGACAAAGGAAGATTAAAAAACAAATCAAAGAGAGGGGGGGAAATCAAGAGTAGAATGGAAGGAAAGAGAGGGAGAAAACAGATCGTTAATAGTGATGGGCCCCAGACCAAAATCTAAGCTTGCATTCCACCACTGAATCTAAACATCATTGGTCTATGATGGGACAAACACTCTCTAGATTTAGATGCTCCCGCGCTGGGAGATTTGAAATCTGGATCTAACCCTGAACATTCCCAAATTTCAGGATGTTCTGGTTTGATTATTTATTTATTTATGTACTTGTTTATTTGATTCAGCCTATTATGAAGATAGAGTTGAGCTGCAATCCTGGATTGAGATCTGGGGCTAAGACTGCAGGGGCTTGTTGAGGCCCATCTCTGTAGAAGTGAAAGAACTAAAGACACTCTCCTAGCCTTGCCAATTTCCTTTTAATGTAATTATGCCAACAAACATCTCTATTTGGGGCCACTGTTTAGTGGCTGACTTTGTGAAGTTGGCCTGAATAATAGCATGAGCAACAGCAGAATTCTCTGATCTTACTAATTAAGGGCCCTATACTTGCTTCCAGTTAAGTCACTGGTAGTTTTACCACTGACTTTAATGGGAGCAGGAGCAGGTCTAAATCCTGGTTGGCAACCCAGTCACAGAGGTTCTATTCTGAAATAGTTTGGTGTCCTGATCAGCTGTCCAGGGAACCTGTAACATTCACCACTGAATTTCATTTCCATTTTGTACATTGAGATCACATTCCTTTCTATTTAGGCTAGGCACACCACCATGGTATCCAAATGCCATACAAGCTTTAATTTTTTTCAAATGGCTTATAAATCATTTTCTCTCTCTCTCTGCCCACATAAGGAATTTATTTATGTATTGTGGGAAAGCTAAGACTCCTAGTGCCATTGATTCATTGTGTGGGTTTCAGTAAGTCAATTAACATCTCTGTACCTCAGTTTCCTCATTGGAAAAATAGGGATAATAATAGTTTGAGGCTTAATTAACTAATGTTTGTAAAGAATTTTGAAATCATGGGATGACAGGTACTGTATAAACGCAGGTGGTTATTACTTACTATTTCCTTTAGTAAGTCACCCACTTACTGTCTTTATATTTATGTTTTGTCTTTTTCTAGTAGCTGGCCTAGCTCTCTTCCTCCCATCTGTCTCTTTCCAAGAACATACCCAATCATTTATGCTCCTGGAAAAGGGAATCCATTTCCCAAAACAGTACTAATTAAATATAACACCGAACAAATATGTAGTAGGGAGTTTAAGCCTGCATGGAAACTAATATTTGTATCAGAGATGGTCCAAACTAGAAGCCTGGATCTGAGACTCCCACCCACTGAACATGGGGAAGAGGAACTCAAAATAGTACCCTCAATCTGAAAACACTTACGCTTTGTCTCACCTAGATCATGATCCAAACACTCTGACTCAGTCCCATTTCTTATTTGAAGTCAGACATTTGGTTCAATACTCAGTGTCAAATAAAAATGAAGTTTTCAGCTAATTCATTCACTATTTGTATTGTAATAGAGCCTAGAGTCCCCAGCCAAGATTGAAGACTGGCACTCGTGCTAAATACTGTACAAAGACGTAGTGAGCAGCAGTCCTTGTTCTGAGGATCTTACAGACTAAGTAGATGAGGCAGGCAAAGGATGGGAGACAGGAAACATTAGAGGAACTGAGAGATATAGAAACTAAGTGACTTGCTCAAGGCCACATGGGAAGTCTGTGGCAGAGACAAATTGAATCCAGATGTCTTGAGGTCCAGCCTAGTTCCTTAATCACAAAACTATCCTCTCGTTTCCAGAGGATGGAATTTAAGTCTGCCAGATCCCCCTGCCCTCTTCCTGCCTGGCTGAAAAATATGAGAATCAAAAGGAGTAGTGACTGGTTTCTATTTTCCAGAAACATAAGAGAAGGATGAAATCATTCATGCTTGCTTCATACTTAGACCCAAATAGATGAAGCCAGGATCTAGGATGAGCGCCTCACCCCTACTCCAGCCCATATATGCTGTCTAGAAGGGCTAGAACAGCATAAAAGGATTGGCCAGGGAGGGTTCCCTTGGTGCAGGAACTACAGACAACATCTGTTAGGTTCATTCCTTGCCAATCTATGCTATGACTTAGAGGTGCAGCGCAGAATCTGACCACTGGAGCTCACCTACTTGGCTGTAGGGATAAAAGATGAATATCTAGCAGACTAATGTGCCCCATTCTAGCCATCTGGCTGATTTCTAATCACAGTTCATAAACTCCTGTTGCAGTGGTTTGTATGTGAGTGATTCTGGTCCAGAAACAGTCATGTAGAGAGACGTTGTTGCTGTGTGTTATTTCCAGCCATGTGATATGGCTGTTAAATCTTATTGTTCCTCTTCTTGTTTAAAGTATCACAGCAACTGCTGCCAGCATCGGTGCTGCAGGGATCCCACAAGCTGGCCTTGTGACTATGGTCATTGTTCTGACATCAGTTGGGCTGCCTACAGATGACATCACTTTAATTATTGCAGTTGACTGGGCATTGTAAGTAACTTAGTGTCTGAACCTTCCTTCCAGCTGCAAATCAAGTTGTTTTTCTGTACTCTGCATGTCAATCCATAGACGCTTAGGGCGTCAGAGCTGTCACTTCTGCACATCATAATCACTGGGAACTTCACAGAGACAGCAGGGATAGAACTCGAGAAAGCACCTAAACTAATGGAGACTCTTCATTAGCAGTAGAGAGTCTACGGCCAGAGCTAGCTGAATTAATAACAAATACAGTAATTTATTTTGAATTTCAGCTCTTTCTTTCAGGGTAGCAGCCGTGTTAGTCTGTATCCTCAAAAAGAACAGGAGTACTTGTGGCACCTTAGAGACTAACAAATTTATTAGAGCATAAGCTTTCGTGGGCTACAACCCACTTCTTCGGATGCATATACAGTGAAACATA